GCACTTAAGGTCTAATTCTTCTTAATTAGGTAATATTTTCACAGTGGGGGCAATGCATGGTGTAACCAGTCATAGAAAGTCCCTGTGGGACCATGCCTTACTGTTTGCCCTCACGCAACACACAAATTAGCCTTGAGGACATAGTTTTTTCCTTGAACACTGTGGGAGTTTGAGTGATACCAAATAACGGCTTCCACTTTCGCAATCACCACTAGCATTGGCTCACATCAACAGATTAAGCCTATCTTTCATAGGCTTATGTCTGGGAGTGCCTTTTCCTCCTGAGTAATGTAGATCTGCTTGTCATTTTCTTTCAAAACAAGGCCTGTTTGTCACCAATTAAACACTTGTTCAGGTTTGAAGGTCTTCACTGTCTATGTAATCCTTGAATTCCTTTAACATATTTTTCAGCTCTTTTGTCTGAGCTGGCAGCCTCACCATCTATTACACTATGGTATGCCCACTACGATCTTAAATCTTTAAGTTCACCTTTGCGGCTTTAAATACACTCGCATCTGCACTAGTTTGCAGGCAATTTCTTTACAAATCGTCATGCAGCTGCCTAGCCTTTTCACAAATGATTGCTTGAGAGATGCTATCTCCTGCTATCTGTTTTTCATTTACCCACACCAATAAGTTTCTCAACATTTTCTAACACTTGCAGTCACTGTTTCATAATCACAGTTGCACCTTTTGCAAGAACAGCTTCCTTGATTGCCGTTTTCCTGGTCACTATAGTAGAGATGGTTGATTGGGGTTTATTATACAACCTGACCAGCTCCGACACACTCGCTCCACTTTCGTACTTTGCAATTATCTCTTTCTTCATTTCAATAGTCATTAGCACCTTTTTTCTCAAAGGGTTGGCAGTAGAAGCTTTCTTGGGGCCCATGGTGACTTATTTTGCAGAAACAAGCACCAAAAACAGTGATAATGTGGAATGTACCGAATGTATCCTTAGATGCTTGCACACTGGCTGGCTTGTAAACACTGGCACACACGGGGCAGTTCAGGCCACACGTGGACACGTCTCGTACGAATCGTATCAAATACCGAGGCAAAATTTTTGTGATATAATGCATCAAATACCGGATTTATCGAATAGGGATGCCATCGAATACCGGGGGTCCACTGTATATGGAATAGGTGGTAAGTTACTAAATGCTGTGAAGAGTTTTTATGAGGATAGTGAGGCTTAGGTAAGGGTGTGTAGAAGAGAGGGAGACTACTTCCTGGTAAAAGTGGGTTTTAAGCAGGATGTTTTCTCCCCATGTTGTTTAATAATTTATAAGTGGGTTGTAAAAGAAAAAATCTGGGTTTTTAAAGGAAAGGGGTGGGATTAAAAGGGGGGAATTTAAATACAAAAGGGAAATTGAAAACAGTTGCTTTTGAGTACGGCTTAGGGAGATTCCCAAAAGAAAATGAAAGGTTGGGGATGAGTTTGGAGTGGTGTAAAGGTGAAATTTAAAAAGTGAACAAGAAAAGATTAAGGGATGGGGGGATAAAATTTTTTAAAATAAAAAAAAATTTGGGATATAAAAATGGGGAAGTATTGGAAGAATGAATGTTTTTCAGACTTGGGATTGATTTTCGGGGGATGAATTATGAAGAGAGGTTAATCATAAAAATTGATGGGGGGAAAAAAGGCGATATGCATGGAAAAGGGGAGACAAAAAAAATTTTTTATCTAGGGGGAAAAGAAGGAATTTTGAAAGTAAAAGTATACCAACACACTTTATGGTTAAAGCTTGGGAAATCAGCAGTGAGGAGGCGGTTGGGGGCGTGGAGATGCCCCTTTTTAAGGGCAATTTGTGGGTAAATATGCAAAAAATTTTGGAGTGGAAATTAGTAGGGGGATTAATAAAAGAATAGGGGGGCAAAGGGGGTTCTCGAGGGGTTTGGTCATTTAGGAGAATGGATCAAAGTAGAAGAAAGGGAAAGGGGGTTAATCTGGGGGGAAGGAAGGGGGGTGGGGGTCGTCCTCGAAAAGTTGGGGGAAAGGGGGTAAGGGAGGTTTTGTGGGGGAGGGGTTGGCTTCCAGCAGGCGCATGAGTGTGTTCAATAGAGTGAATGGAGACAATGGATTTTGGACCTGACATCTTTTGGGGTGGAGCAGGGGAATATTTTGAAGGATTCAAGAAACGGTTTTTTTTTTATATAGCTGGGCTTGATCCGGAAAAGGAAGAAAAGCCTACCTAAAGGAGGGGGTTTGGGGAAATCGTTGGAGGGGTATGGTGTGTATCTTTATACGTAATGCTTTTTAAGCTGTTGTATTTTTGAGCCCTCTCAAAAAAAGTGATTGTATGAGTGAGGGAACGGTTGAATGAAAGAGAAAGAATTTTTTTTTTGGGGTTTTTTTTTCTCTTTGGTCACCTTCCCTTGGTGGGAGACGGCCGACTTGTTAAAAAAAAAAAAAAAAAAAAAAAATCATCACATTAGTGAATGTCTCCAAGATATACTCTCCAAAATACTGTTCTGCAATCCACACTCATGACACTATTAGTTGCTTATCTACCTATACCTCACATATGGAATTTGTGCCTGGGTATCCATTTCAACTTCTCATCTCTAATAGATTATAATTCAAGAAAAGACTGTTTTCAGAAAAGTCTCAAACTACCAATAGATATCACACTATGCCCAAAATTTTAAAACTCTAAACCCCTTTAAAACTAAATGTATTCAACTTAAATTTTTCATTCAACATGTACAGAAATGTTGCATTGTGGTGCTGATGCTGAACTCTGACAATTCCTAGATTAGAAACTTTTTTTTTTTTTTTTTAAACACTGGGGCTCTTCCTCACCGAGGTAGAGTGGCCTGACAAAGAAGAAATCACTTTCAAGGTCACTCATTCACTGTCTTAGCAGAATGGCACTGACACCCATTCGATGACCCTCCAAAGCCCAAAACTTCCTCAAGTGCAGGGATTATTTTTCCCACCCCAGGGTTGAGTCCGGCTGACTGATTTTCCAGAATCCCTTCATAAATGTTACCTTACCCTCCAACAGCACGTTAAATCACAACCAAAAACAAATACCTCTCATATCCCTCGTGTTCAGTTGAACATTACAGAAGTTATATGAAAATTAAAGGACCGAAGATGTGGAATGACTTGCCAAACGAACTAAAAAAAATTTCGCATTCTTAACCCCTTTTAGGGGCCAGGGCCCCTCAGAATTTTTTCTCAGGGCACCCCAAAATTTAAAAAAAAAAAAAAAAAAATTTCTTATGAAAAGATAGAGAATCTTTTCCCAATCATATCGAATGAGTACAAGAAACCACCCATTTACCGATTTCAACTATCCAATACAGTGGTCAGAATTTAGCAATTTGCCAATTTCACACAAATTTCAAGAGAGCCCGTTTTTTGAAAAAGGGTCCAAAATAAACAAAACAGACATCCTGGCCTAAAAAAAAATTTTCCCCTGCTCATTAGCACGTCCTCAGCCCCTCTTTCATTCTTTTGCTTTCCCCTTGAATTTTTATTTTCACACAAAAAATAGAAGATTTACTGTTATGCAGACTACTGCATTGGTGTAGAAATGGTATAAATATCAGTGCACTTGTGAAAGAATATTAGACTCGCCAGTTGACGTGTATTGGACACATAGCATGATTTGTTTACTTTTGAACTTTGGTAAAAATCGAACATTTCTGCTACTTTGCGCTCAATTTCAAGGTACTTTTCTTTGTAAAACCAGTCGAAATCATCTCAATTTCTGTAATATGTCTTCCATTCTATAAAGTGAGACCAGGAAAACTAGAATACAACAATAAATACCATACGAAAATAGTGCAAAGTCACTGTTTTAATCCAAAAACACGGTCAGTTTGTTTTTCTCATTACGCACTGTGTGCTGCAGGATTTTTTTATACCATGCACACTGACCACATAGACCCATTCTTTCATATGTAGGCCTACCAGCTTTCTCACTAGATTTGCGGATGCTAGAATTTAGGCGTACTAGTACGTCAAAAACCCTGGCACGTAAGCCGTACTAGTACGGCCGAAACCTTGAAAGGGTTAATCCAATCAAAACTAAGCTAAAGAAAGCACTCTGTGCCTTACCCCAGCTCTATTTGTGAATACCTCTGTTTTGTATTGGTTTCTCTATACGAGTGCTACTAGTTTACTGTTCCATACTATTTGTTACTGTAAATTATTGCAGGTCGGCCATCACTAATCCAGCAGTCACTAACCTGGTTCCAACAGTAATCTGGTACTAATTTCGGCTAGCATAATTTCAAATTTCTAGAGTTGCCACCCCAACCTGCCACTACTGTTCGGTGGCACTACTTGCTGCATAAGTCATTCCAATTTGTTTTTCTCCATTTATTGTTATAACCTGCTTACTTTTAGTTCTAGCCTTGGTTTCAATGAATAAAGGAAATGCTTCTCACTGTGTAAAGTGCAAACACCATACATTGTCCATAAAAGATTAGGTGGCTTTGAGCCACTGTCTGTCCTGTAGTATGATGCCATGATCTCAGCTCACTCAGATAAGTTGTGATTGGTAAATTTGGGCCTACTTATGAGAGAATAGGTCTGTGTGGCAAGTGTGCACTATATAAAAAAAATCCTGCCGCACACGGTGCATGAGAAAAATACTGCGACCATGTTGTTGGTGTAAAACAGCGACTTTGCTATGTATTTTCATGTGGTTTTTATGGCTGTATTCTTGGTTTTTTGGTCTCATTTGAGAGAATGGAAGATATATTACAGGAATATGATTTTGATTGGTTTCAAAACTGATAGTGCATTGAAACTGAGCTCAAAGCAGTGGACATGTTTGATTTTTGCTGATGTTCAAGAGTAAACAAATTATGTCATGTGACCAATGCATGTCCAACTGGCCGGTTTAATATGTGGTCAGAAAAATCAAGGAATCCTTCAGGATTGAATTCTAGCTTCCATAGGTAGCAGAGAAAGTCATAATATTGAAGCTCCTAGTTATGTCACAAGTAACCTAAAACCGTTTTATTTCTTTAACTTTTAGGTAGCATGTTGTATGTAGGAGAACGTTGCACAAGTAACAGTGAAAGCAGTTCGTGTCATGGTTCTGTAACGGTAGCAGCAGCAATCCACTGGGCCCTTACAAATTTGCCCCAGTCTACTTCATGTTCCCCACTTACTACTGCTTTAAATGCTGTTGCTGACTTGCATGAGGCTACACAGGTAAGTGTTCACAACATTATTTATGTTTTTCAGTGTCTTCCTTCTTTTTCATAGTGATTTCTTCATCTTTATTTGTTGGAAGGGATTATTGTTCTGTCATGTGGGTGATAAAACGGAAGTCTGTCCAGTGTCTTGTTCTCTTGCAGGATTGCTGATTTTCTTTGTGATAGAATCATTACTTGGAGATGATTTGTTTATTGAAAACCAGGCATACACACCTCACCCACAGTCACATAGGCAAAAATCCAAATTAAAAACCAACTCTAGAATTAATGTACTGCTAACAGGAGGTTCATACTCTGAGAAGAAATGAGCAGAACTTTAGATGAGGAGTATAAATCAGTGTTCAGCAATCCACTGAATAACAGGGCAGTAAAGGATTCAGAAAATGTTTTGCCTCTGCCTATATTAGACATGAGCACAAATCTTTTAGAATTTGAGAGGGAATTGGAAATCATGCCCACACATGTAACACCAGGGCAAAATTCATGAAACATACTAGTGACTGTATAAAGAAAAGCAAACTGCTACAAAATGAGCACTCGGCAAACTTTGGAGGAAGATCCTATATTTGGGTCAAATCCCAGAGGTCATAAGAAGTGCAAATATAGCTCCTTTGCATGAAGGAGAAAGTACAGCCCTGGCAAAACAATTACAGGACTCAGTGAAATACCAACTTTGGTTAGGAAGATAGGTTGCATAAGAGGGGTGAAGAATCATCACATGGGCCAGGAATTATTTCAGTTAGGTACTAGGTTACACACAATACAGAAAAAGACGTTTGAAGGCCTGTACAGTAGAAATGTTTAAATTAAAAAATCAGGTGGATTGGAAGACTTTAAGTGAATTATTTCACAAATACACTTATTGGAGAGGAAACCTTACTCTGCTCTGTCCTGAATCATTATCATCTCGCAACCGAGGGATAGATTGGGGAAAGTTAAAACCAGAAGACAGGGCAGTGAATATACGGAAGAAAGTTAAAAGACAGGTCAGGTGATGAGAAAAGTAAGGAAAACAGGTCAGGATATAAATAACAGTAGTAGAGAGAGTATGAAGATACTCTCCTTAATAAATTACATTTCAAATTTCAAGAACATCCCTTTGGTAGTAGTGAAGCGCTCTTGATCTATCTTCCCTTTCTTTTGATCAAATCTGATTAACACTCACTTCTTAAGCATTGCATAACCCCTCCAAGTTTAGTGCTTCCTTATGGTTATAATGATAAACTTATGGGGATGGAGGAGATGGTTAACTTAACTCTCATCCAAAAAAAAAAAAAAAATGAGAGAAACAGTAAGATGCTAGGACATGAGGAAGAAGCATTTAAGGAAAGAGGTGAAAAGTGAGAATTTCAGAAGATTGATCTAAAGAAAAGGTAAGGAGAAGGCCAATGTCAGGTAAAGTCAAAAGTGTTCTGAAAACAAACGTTTAAGAATACAATGAGAAAGGCGCTTTTGATGTGTTTTGAGAGTTTTTGTACTTTGTAGCTTGACCCTAGGTCAGGCTTGTTTGGTGCTTGCCTGATTAACCAGGCTCTTGATGCTGCTGGCTCACTGGTCTATATATCCATTACAGCCAGGCATCAAAAGAAACAAAACCAGGACTAAGATTCATGTTAGGAATGTTGTGTATGTGGCCTGCTTCTGCAAGATGGCATCTGTGAAGGATAGAAGAGAGTTATTGTTTTAGCAGAGGACCAGTCTATAGGATGTTTATGATCTCTAACATGACAGGAAAGTGTTTTGTTAGAGTAAACAAGGCAGACACCTCTTATGTGTTCTTCAGCAATCAGTGAATGGGCAGTTTCACTACTGTATTGAAAAGAGCAAGATGAGCAAGAAATAGAGTAGACATGGGAAATATCAGTTGCATGAGAAGTGTGAACCAGAATGCTACAAGGTGTAGTAGTTGTTTGATGAAATGCAAATGGTAAATTTTCAGAGGAGGGTAGGTGTTAAGATTTTAACTACAAGTATAGGGACAGCAATGACACAATCAAGGGAGAACTCTTGCCTTTAATTTTAAAAAATTCCTTAGGGAAAAGGAATGTTTTGCTATACATTCCTTATTGCATATTTTTAATGATATTGTTTTTTAAAAAAAAAAAAAAAAAAAAAAAAAAAAACACAAGACACATAACAGGCGGGGCCACACACTACAGAGCAATCTTAGCAAGCTTTTCATTCGCTTGTATCATTAAACCAAGCAAAAATTAACTTTTTTGTTACTGTAGCATACTGATAATTTTAACAAAGTTTGGAAGGGGGGCATTGCAAGAGAACTGCGACGGCTTCAACCAAGATCAAAAATGTTATTTGCAGACTCTTCCAGTGAGTCTTCTTTGGGGTTGAGACTCAGCTCCGGGGCTGCCTCATCCAATTCTTTCCAATTTTCACCACCTGACAAAAAATACTTTTTTTCTTCCCAATGACTCTTTTTGTTTCCTGGTCCCTTAATTCAGTCTGCCCCCTTCTGCCCAAAATAACCCTTTCGGGTTTTTTGTCAAACCTGTTTTCCCTAAACGCTCCTGTTCACCGGGTTTCGGGTTTTTAGTCTCTTAAACCTCCCCTCATAGTACCTCCTCGTTCTGGTACTGGCCGGTGCAATTTTTAGGCCTTTTTGAGCTTCACATGTTTTATCAGTGTTGTTTCCCTTTTCTAGGGCCGGAGCTGATTGGTTTAACGGTCATTACAGAAAGGGGCCCCCAAAAGGGCAGGTTAGGTTCCAGGAAAACCGCCCAGAAAGCGGACATCGCCAGAAAGCAGAAGCCTTTTTTTTTCCCTTTATAAATGCATATAAACCCAGATAACAAGTTACACAACAAATTAATTTGCAATGGAACTAGACTTAAAAAGCAATAAAAGAAAAACACACACAACACCGTTACTTTTTTTTTTTTTTTTATTAACACACTGGGCCCATTCCCACCAAGGCAGGGTGGGCCCCAAAAAAAAAAAACTTTTCACCATCTTCACTCCACACTGTCTGCCAGAAGGGTGCTTTACACTACATTTAAACTGAACATTAACACCCCTCCTCAGGTGAGGATGTACTTACTTCCCATCTCCGGACTAAAGCTGGCCTGCTGTTTTCCCCGAAACCCTTCATAAATGTTTCTTGCTCACACCCAACAGCACGTCAAATATTAAAAACAATTTTTCTCCATTCCTCCTATCAAACCTCATCATGCCGCTGGAAGTCCAAGCCCCCGCACACAAAACCCTTTTTTAAAACCCCCCCCCCAACCTTTCCTAGGCCGACCCCACCCCCCTTTCCCTTTCCCCTACAGACTGAAAAATCTTTAAAATCATTCTGTTTTGCTCCATTCTCTCTACATGTCCAAACCACCCAACAACCCTTCCTTGCCCCCCCCCTGGACAACATTTTGGTAATCCCCCCCACCTCCTCCTAAATTCCAAAATTTCAATTCCTGCATTATATTTACACCCCACATTTCCCTCAACTGACATCTCTACTGCCTCCGCCTTCTCCTCGCTGCAACATTCCACCCATGCTTCACACCCATAAAAACTTGGTAAAACTGTACCCAGCATTCCCCTCTTCCCCAAGGGCAAAGTTCTTTTTCCCCCACTTACCTTAAAATTTTGTAGTCTTAAGTGGGGAGAGGTATAGTATTTTTTTGTTAAGTCAGGGGTGGGAAGAAGACAGCCCGGCCCCCCCCCACCCACACGTAATATACTACGCATTTAAAGCGCCCCAGTGCTATCAAAAGCAAAACATACACTCATTAGTTACCTTAAAATATTTTGTAGTCTAACGTAGGGTGAGAGAGAGAGATATAGTTAGCAACTAGCGAGGGGAAAACACTTGTAAAATAGAGAGGACAAACGCAGATATGTAAACAACGCGTTCATTTCCATGTTTTTGAACTTATACCATAATACAAATGCCTTATATTGTGTACAAGTTGTCTCCATGTTGGTTGTGTGGAATAAATAGAGCAACACTCCCATTTTCATGTAACCATTTTTAAAAGGAATGACACTCTGAGCGAAGGCATACGAAAGGAATAATTTTCTATAGTTAATGCTATTGTGTAGGCCTTTTCTTTGGTGTTGAACTAGAGAAAAAACTGTTATTTCACTCCGACATTGCCAACAAGACGACTGCAAAAACATCTCATATTTGTTAATTTATTCTACTCTGGAGTGTTTTTTTTTTAACAAGTTGGTTGTCTCCCAACAAGGCAGGGTGACCCAAAAAGAAAGAAAATACCCAAAAAGAGACTACTTTCATCATCATTCAACACTTTCACCTCACTCACACATTATCATTGTTTTGCAGAGGTGCTCAGAATACAACAGTTAGAAGCAATATACCTAAAAGATATACAGCAACAAATCCCTCCAAACTGCCAATATTCCAAACCCCACCTTAAAGTGCAGCATTGTACTTTCCTCATTTCCAGTAACTCAAGTCCAGCTATATAAAAATAACCGTTTCCCTGAATCCCTTACACAAATGTCGTACTTACCAGTGCTGCTCACACTCCACAGCTCGTCAGTCCCAAATACCATTTGTCTCCATCACTCCTATCTAACATGCCTCGCACATCCTTCCGCCCACAAAACCTTTACCCTCCCCTCCATCCTTTTCAAGGATGACCCTTACCCCACCTTTCTTAACCTACGATTTATACACTCTCCAAGTCATTCTTCTTTGATCCATTCTCTCTAAATGACCAAACCACCTCAACAACCCCTCTTCAGCCCTCTGACTAATACTTATAGTAACTCCACACCTCATCCTAATTTTCACACTCCAAATTCTCTGCATAATATTTAACTTACACCACACATATTGCCCTTAGACATGACTCTCCACTGCCCAGCCACCTCATCGCTGCAGCATTTGCAACCCAAGCTTCACACCCATATATACTTTCGTACATTCCCTTCTTTGCCTCCATGGATAACGTTTTTTTTTGTCTCCACAGACACCTCATTTGTCATGATCCCGTATGTTCCAGCTGCTTTACCCCCTTTCATTCTACGTAATGCCTCATGCACCTCTCCCACACTCACATCCTGCTCTTCTTCACTCCTAAAAGATATTATACCTCCCTGGCCAATGCACGAAATTACCGCCTCCCTTTCCTCAAAATATTCCCGCCATGTACCCAATACCTCCAGCTCCCCATCTATTAACTCCCATACTCTGTTTTTAACTGACAAATCCATTCGATCCCTAGGCTTTCTTAATTTGTTTCTCACTCCAAAATTTTTTTCTTGTTTTCATCAAAAATTCCCTTAAGATTGTGCCTCTACCCATTCTAATCATCTGCTCTCCTTTTGCACACACTCACCACTCACTTCTTCCACCTTTCTTTAACTCTCCTTATACTCTGCTTTTCTTATAATACTTCTCATTTGTAAAAACCTCTCATAAGCTAACTTTTTCTCTTTCATCACACCCTTATTTCATCATTCCCACCAAATCGCTCCTCTTTCCTCCTAATATCCACAACTTAGCGCCACATTCTAAACTGCATTTTTAAAACTATGCCAACCCTCTTCAAACCCCCCCCCCCTTACTCAATACTTGCAACTACACCTACCTTTCTGCCAATAGTTGCTTCTATCTTAAACCCTAACTTCCTCCTCCCTGTATTTTATAATACACTTTCTCCTCTCTTACATGCTGTTGCCATTTTCCTTTGTCCCATCGCCCCCACCTCCTTTTCTTCTTACTCCTCAGTAGCCTCCAAAAAATCTAAAAAAATGATCCAATATATCAGTGTCCCTATATATAAACAACTTACAACCTGAAGTCTACCCATCAACCTGTATCCACCAATATATAATCTAACAAACTACTTTCATTACATGCTATATCATACCTTGTACATGTATACTTATTTATCCTCTTTTTTTTTTTTTTTCATAAAAAATGTATTACTAATTACAAACCACTTTCTTCTACAACATAGCTTCAATTAAAGCTAACCCATTTTCATTTAACCCCCTGCACCTCAAATTTCTTCTCTAGTACTTCTCAGTCCACCACATTTTTAGCCCATTTATCATTGAATCCCCAACCACAAGTACTCTCCACTTGGTTCAAAGACTTCCAACCACCACTCCACATTTTCCAAAATCTCTCTCTCTCTCCTCAGCACTTCTCTTCTCCAGGTGCATAAACACTTACTGTAACCCACTTTTCACATACAACCCTTATTTTACTCCACATAATCCTTGAATTTATACATTTATATTCCCTCTTTTTTTTGCCATAACTTATCCTTCAACATTACTGCTACTCATTCTTTAGCTTTAACTCTGTTTGAAACTCCTGACCTAATCCCATTTATTTCTCCCCACTAAAACTCTTCTACCCCCTTCAGCTTTGTTTCACGTAAAGCCAGGACATCCAGCTTCTTCTCATTCATAACATCCACAATCATCTCTTATCATTCGCACAACATCCATGCACATTCAAACATCCCACTTTGACGGTTTTCTTTTTCTTTTTAGTAGCCCATTGTTCCCGGCATTTTAGTTGACTTTTACACACGCATGGCATACGGAGGAAAGATTCTTATTCCACTTTCCCAAGGATATGAAAGGAAAAGCACTAAGAATAAGAACCGTTAAGGTAAAATCAAAGAAAAGTCAGATGAGCATGTATACTTTACACCGCCTAAATTAAAACTTTTTGCTATTCTTTAGGGTGCAAAGAATGAAAAAAAAGGGGGGGTAAAAAAGACCAGTTCACCCCCTGATGGAAGAAGAAAGTGGGTACCTTTGATATCAATTTGCAGAGACACTTGTGGATGATATTGCAAAGTTGGCACTCTTCGCTACCACTCGTGTACCAACAAACACTAAATTCAAACCAGGTAAATAATTTGTATATATGTTCCTATATAGCTGTATACCTTTGATAACATTTTTCTTTCAAAAGTTATAGAACCATGAGAAGGCCAGACTAAAACATTCTGGCTCACTTTCATACATGGTGTAAATAGCATTTTTTACAAAAGGTAATGTAAGTCACAAAAAATCATAGCAGTTGAATGAATGATGGTGAATGTGATTCCTTCTTTGGGTTAACCTGTCTTGACAGGTAAAAAAAAAAAAAAATCATGGAAAATTAAGAAATTTTTTCAACTTAGAATGTAATATTAAATAGAAGTTCATTTGTGTGCAAGAATGAGAAAAATTATTTGTAGAACTAATTATTGGCAAGTTTGATAGTGGTACAATGGTGCTCTGTACTATTAGTAATGAAGACTGGGATAACTAAGAAACCTAAATATATAAAGAAATCAATTTTAACACAACATTCTTTAAATATCCTCTCACTGGTGTTGAAGAATACGGTGGAACCTCGGCTTACGAGTTTAATCCGTTCTGTGACCCTGCTTGTATCTCGATCTGCTCATGTGCCGAGTCAATTTTCCTCATGGTTGTAGTATTGGTTATATATTTGTGTCTGATGCTGTACAAAACCTGTTTCAGGAGGGTTGTTGTCCAAGAAATTCACAGATGGGTTAAAAAGTGGACTGGATTTGTTGGTTATAAATTCTGGTAAAACAGCCAATAATTCCACGGTGCTCCTGGCTGCCAACCAGGAAGAACAAAGACAGTAAGAATGTATGGACTATTTGTTACATCTACTTATGGTCCTGAATATCTTATGTTTATATTATGTAGGTTGGGTTATACTGTAGTGTACATTATTAACTGAAGGTACAAGTACAGCACAACCACCCAAGTAGGCACAATGCTACATGAACAGTCCACCCAGGTAGGTACAGCTTACAACAACTCCGCACTACATACACAGGAAAAAGGTATCTTGGGGTGAGCATCATACGAGTACATCCCCTGAGTTACATCATCCAAATAACTGCCTACAGCATAGGGTGCCTGAACCAACCTAAGGAAAATCAGTTCAACCACTAATTAAAGTCATCATGACACGGTATACTGTTGTACATCAGGCCTGTATTGGAGTAAGCAGCACCAGTAATGGAACCCCACCTGTCAAGCACATATCAGAAATTGAAAACTGCAATGGTTGCAACAAGACTAGTCCAGAGCTAAGGGGTATGTCCTTTGAGAAGAGGTTGAGGGAACCCAACCTGACAACACTAGATGGACAGGGGAAGACATAATAAAATGCTAAGAGGATTATCTAGGCGAACAAGAAAGAATGTTTCAGAGATGACACACAGGAACAAAGGGACACAACTGGAAGTTGAAAACTCAGAGTCATAGGGATGTTAGGAAGTATTTCTTCAGCCTTAAAGTTGTCAGGGAGTGGAACAATCTGGGGAGTAAAATAGTGGAGGCAGGATCCATACATAGCTTTAAGAAGAGGTACAATAAAGCTCTAGGAGCAGTGTGTGTGTGGACTTTGTAGCGACCACTGAAGAGGCGGGGTCAGCAGCTGTGGCTCAACCGCTGCAACCACATATAAACTAGTACACACACACACCTACTTACCCACCATTTCTATAAATAAAGAGTGGAGTATATCGTACAGTTAACATAATTGACATATACAGGTACTCCTCACTTAATGACCTACCTGTTTAACGACTGCTCAGACGTACAACCAGCTCTCTGACTAGTCGGTGTTGTAAGCTGTATAAGAACTTTGATTATGGAAATGGCAGTGTGTCTCAGCGTCAAGCATCTCATCTCGCATCACCCTTTATCAATCTCAGTCTTGTTCCCATAGTTGGTTAGTATTCACTAACTATAGTTAATCAAGTTAGTAAATCACTTAGTGCAGTCAGTAAGTCAAGTCACTATAGTTATTCAAGTCACTAGGTCAGTCAGTCCAATCAGTAAGTCAAGTCAGTCACTCAGTTTATTCAGGTAAACATATACATAAATACAGTTGAATTATTTATTATACATAGCAGCATATATAAACACTGCATGTATTGACTAGTATTCAGGAATGAACTAAGTTCATGACGCGCACACGCACGCGCGCACACACACACACCACACCACACACACTCACACACACACACACACACACTCCCCACACACACTCCACTCCCCACACCCACACACCACTACTCACTCACCTCCTCACTCTCCACACTCTCCTCTCTCTCACTCTACTCTTTTTGCCCCTTTCTCGTCCTCTCCCGTCCTCTGTCTCTCTCTTTTCATCTTCTCTCTGTCTCTCACCTCTCTCTCTCTCTCTTTCTCCTCTGTCTCTTCTCTGTCTCTCTTCTCTCTGTCTCTCTCCTCTCTGTCTCTCTCTTTTCTCTCTGTCTCTCTTCTCTCTCTCTCTGTCTCTCTCTCTTCTCTTCCTCTCCTCTCTCTCTGTCTCTCTCTCTGCCCTCTCTCTCTCTGTCCCCTCTCTGTCTCTCTCTCTGTCTCTCTCTCTCTGTTCTCTCTCTCTCTGTCCTCTCCCCTCTGTCTCTCTCTCTCTGTCTCTCTCTCTCTCTGTCTCTCCCCTCTCTGCTCTCTCTCTGTCTCCCCTTCTCTCTCTGTCTCTCTCTTCTCTCTCTCTCTCTCTTCTCTCCTCGTCTCTCTCTCTCTCTGTCTCTCTCTCTCCTTCTCTCTCTCTCTCTCTCTCTCTTCCTCTCTCTCTGTCTCTCTCTCTCTCTTTTCCTCTCTCTCTGTCTCCTCTCTCTGTCTCTCTCATCTCTCTCTCTTTTCTCTTCTCTCTCTCTGTCTCTCTTTTGTCTCTCTCTCTCTGTCTCTCTCTCTCTCTCTCTCTACTCTCTCTCTCTCTCTCCCTCTCTTCTCTCTCTACTCTCTCTCTCTCTCTCGTCTCTCTCTCTCTGTCTCTCTCTCTCTTCCTCTCTCTCTCTGTCTCGTCTCTCTCTGCTCTTCTCTGCTCTGTCTCTCCTCTCTCTCTCTCTCTCTCTCTCTCTGTCTCTCTCTTCTCTCTCTCTCTCTCTCTCTCTCTCTCTCTCTCTCTCTCTCTCTCCTCTCTCTCTCTCTCTCTCTCTCTCTCACACACACACACACATACACACACACACACACACACACACACACAAATACACACACACACAAGTCGGCCGTCTCCCACCGAGGCAGGGTGACCCAAAAAGAAAAAAAATCCCCAAAAAGAAAATCCTTTCATCATCATTCAACACTTTCACCACACACATTATCACTGTTTTTGCAGAGGTGCTCAGAATACAACAGTTTAGAAGCATATACGTATAAAGATACACAACATATCCCTCCAAACTGCCAATATCCCAAACCCCTCCTTTAAAGTGCAGGTATTGTACTTCCCATTTCCAGGACTCAAGTCCGACTATATGAAAATAACATATCTGAGAATAATATGCAAGTCGAACAGGCATTACACACGTTGCAGAATTGTCACGTCTGAACAAGTGGAAAGATACAACTGTGGCCGAAATGTATATTACTTGCCACAGTAAGGCTTATGCCTAATATCTACAAGCACAGTATAGCACTTACTTTTTTTTTTTTTTTTTTTTTTTTTCCTTCCTCCAACAAGTCGGCCATCTCCCACTGAGGCAGGGTGACCCAAAAAAAGAAAGAAAATCCCAAAAAGAAAATACTTTCATCATTCAACCACCTCACTCACACATAATCACTGTTTTTGCAGAGGTGCTCAGAACACAACAGTTTAGAAGCATATACATATAAAGATACACAACATATCCCTCCAAACTGCTAATATCCCGAAACCCCTCCTTTAGAGTGTAGGCATTGTACTTCCCATTTCCAGGACTCGAGTCCGGCTATATAACAATAACCGGTTTCCCTGAATCCCTTCACTAAATATTACCCTGCTCACACTCCAACAGATTGTCAGGTCCCAAATACCATTCATCTCCATTCACTCCTATCAAACACGCTCATGCACGCCTGCTGGAAGTCCAAGCCCCTCGCCCACAAAACCTCCCTTACCCCTTCCTTCCAACCTTTTTGAGGACGGCCCCTACCCCGCCTTCCTTCTCCTACAGATTTAAATGCTCTCCATGTCATTCTACTTTGATCCATTCTCTCTAAATGACCAAACCACCTCAACAACCCCTCTTCAGCCCTCTCACTAATACTTTTATTAACTCCACACCTTTTCCTAATTTCCACACACCGAATTTTCTGCATAATATTTACACCACACATTGCCCTTAGACAGGACATCTCTTCTGCCTCCAACCATCTCCTTGCTGCTGCATTCACAACCCAAGCTTCACACCCATATAAGAGTGTTGGTACTACTATACTTTCATACATTCCCTTCTTTGCCTCTATAGATAACGTTTTTTGACTCCACATATACCTCAACGCACCACTCGCCTTTTTTTCCCTCATCAATTCTATGATTAACCTCATCCTTCATAAATCCATCCGCCAACACGTCAATTCCCAAGTATCTGAAAACATTCACTTCTTCCATACTCCTCCTCCCCAATTTGATATCCAATTTTTCTTTATCTAAATCATTTGATACCCTCATCACCTTATTCTTTTCTATGTTCACTTTCTACCTTTACACACACACCCAAACTCATCCACTAACCTTTGCAATTTTTCTTTAGAATCTCCCATAAGCACCGTATCATCAGCAAAAAGTAACTGTGTCAATTCCCATTTTGTATTTGATTCCCCATAATTTAATCCCACCCCTCTCCCAAACACCCTAGGATTTGCTTCTTTTACAACCCCATCTATAAATATATTAAACAACCATGGTGACATTACACATCACTGTCTAAGACCTACTTTTACTGGGAAGTAGTCTCCCTCTCTTCTACACACCCTAACCTGAGCCTCACTATCCTCATAAAAACTGTTTACAGCATTTAATAACTTACCACCTATTCCATATACTTGCAACATCTGCCACATTGCTCCCCTATCCACTCTATCATATGCCCTTTCTAAATCCATAAATGCAATAAAAACTTCCCTACCCTTATCTAAATACTGTTCACATATATGCCACCCTGCCTTGGTGGGAATCGGCCAGTGTGATAAAAAAATAAAAAAAAATATATGCTTCAATGTAAACACTTGATCTACACATCCCCTACCCACTCTGAAACCTCCTTGCTCATCTGCAATCCTACATTCTGTCTTACCTATAATTTTTTCAACTATAACCCTACCGCACACTTTTCCTGGTATACTCAGTAAACTTATTCCTCTATAATTTTTACAATCTCTTTTGTCCCCTTTCCCTTTATATAAAGGGACTATACATGCTCTCTGCCAATCCCTAGGTACCTTCCCCTCTTTCATACATTTATTAAACTAAAGTACCAACCACTCCAACACTATATCCCCCCTTGCTTTTAACATTTCTGTCATGGGTTATCCTAGGTAATTTACACTATGCATGATAATTGGACTTCTGTATACCTGTACCTAAATAAACTTAATCAGCCAGCCAGCTGAGCACATTGGTGAGGAGTACCTGCATACACACACAACCATTTTTCAGTTAAAATTATTAGTCTTTTTTTTTTTTCTCCCTTATATTAACTTTGATGCTTTGAATGGTCATTGCATTTGATGATCCTTTCTTCAGATAACTTTGTTTTAAACTTAGTATTCCAGTCATCTAACAGTATTCAATGTCAAGTAATTTAAAGTTTTAGTTTGCTTGAAAGGCTTTGCATATCTATGGGCTTTTCCATGTATGAAAAAGTGTAGGGGTCATCCTCGAAAAGGTTGGAGGGAGGGGATAACGGAGGTTTTGTGGGCGAGGGGTTTGGACTTCCAGCAAGCATGCGTGAGCATGTTAGATAGGAGTGAATGGTGACGAATGGTATTTGGGACCTGACGAGCTGTTGGAGTGTGAGCAGGGTAATGTTTAGTGAAGAGATTCAGGGAAACCGGTTATTTTTATATAGCCGGACTTGAGTGCTGGAAATGGGAAGTACAATGCCTGCACTCTAAAGGAGGGGTTTGGGATATTGGCAGTTTGGAGGGATATGCTGTGTATCTTGATACGTATATGCTTCTAAACTGTTGTATTCTGAGCACCTCTGCAAAAAGTGATTGTGTGAGTGAGGTGAAAGTGTTGAATGTTGATGAAAGTATTTTCTTTTTGGGGATTTTCTTTCTTTTTGGGTCACCCTGCCTCAGTGGGAGATGGTCGACTTGTTGGAAAAAAAAAAAAAAAACTACCGGAAAACAAATTTGTATTTATTTCGACACGAGATCTTGGGACACAAATTGACTATCAAAGCCAGTCCTATCTAAGGTATACTACCAACTCCTGGGATGCCACCCACAATACTTAACTAACACCCAGGTACCTACGTACTGCTAGGTGAACAGGGACAGCAAGTGTAAGGAAACATACCTGGCTGTGTTGCTATTTTATATCTTGGAACATCACTTTACATCTTGGAACATCACTTTACATCTTGGAACACCACTTTACATCTTGGAGCACCACTTTACATCTTGGAGCACCACTTTACTTCTTGGAACACCACTTTACTTCTTGGAACACCACTTTACATCTTGGAGCACCACTTTACATCTTTGAGCACCACTTTACATCTTGGAGCACCACTTTACATCTTGGAGCACCACTTTACATCTTGGAACACCACTTTACATCTTGGAGCACCACTTTACATCTTGGAACACTGCTTTACATCTTGGAGCACCACTTTACATCTTGGAGCACCACTTTACATCTTGGAGCACCACTTTACATCTTGGAACCCCTGCTTTACATCTTGGAACACTGCTTTACATCTTGAGCACCACTTTTTCATCTTGGACACCACTTTACATCTTGGAACACTGCTTTACATCTTGGAGCACCACTTTACATCTTGGAGCACCACTTTACATCTTGGAACACTGCTTTACATCTTGGAGCACCACTTTACATCTTGGAGCACCACTTTACATCTTGGAACACTGCTTTACATCTTGGAGCACCACTTTACATCTTGGAACACTGCTTTACATCTTGGAACACTGCTTTACATCTTGGAACACTGCTTTACATCTTGGAGCACCACTTTACATCTTGGAGCACCACTTTACATCTTGGAGCACCGCTTTACATCTTGGAACACTGCTTTACATCTTGGAGCACCACTTTACATCTTGGAGCACCACTTTACATCTTGGAACACTGCTTTACATCTTGGAGCACCACTTTACATCTTGGAGCACCACTTTACATCTTGGAACACTGCTTTACATCTTGGAGCACCACTTTACATCTTGGAACACTGCTTTACATCTTGGAACACTGCTTTACATCTTGGAGCAGCTTTTTGTAAACAGATACTAAAGGTTTCAGGTGATTGCTATAACTAATTTTATTTTTGTCTAATATTTTCCTTTAATTTTTTTAATAACTTTATGCTTATGTTGCCCTTTATGCATTTAGTTAAAAATAACCACTGTTAATTCTTTCCTTTGTTTCAGTTCTCAAGGCTCACAGAATCTTTCAGCAGCTGCTCACTCGGCCACATTTGCCATTGCTGCCTTTCTGAAGAAGTTTTCACAACTCGATGTAAGCTTACCGATTACTGTGTCTCATTATATTGTTTAACCCTTCAAGGATACCAGGTACATACATACTGGTGAGGGGGATCTTTATTCAGGAAACTGGAACTGTCTTTCCCTTCCAGAGATCAGATTTGATTACCTCTCATTTCCTAGGTGGAATATAGGACCTCATTGGGGTTCAACACTTCCTGTGATTGTGAATAATTCTAAATTGCTTATAATATTTCAGCTCACAATTATATTAGGAAAATTGAATTTCATCATGTTAATGCCTTTAACCCTTTCAGGGTCGACAGGCCCTCTCAGAGACTTGTTCTCAGGGTCGGCCAAATTTAAAAAAAAAAAAATTCTTATGAAAAGATAGAGAATCTTTTCCCGATCATAATGACACCAAAAGTATGAAATTTGATGGAAAACTTATGGAATTATGCTCTTGTGAATTTAGCGGTCTCGACGATGTTTACGCATCGGCAATTTTGCCCACTTTGAGCCCTATTTTCAGCCAATTCCTGTATACTTGTCGACAAAAATCATAACTATTTCACTAGAACTCCATTTTTTCTATCAAATGAGTACAAGAAACCACCCATTTACCAAGGATGACCTCTTGGATAGTCTACCAAAAATATATAAAACATGGGAGCAAGAGATAGTGTATCAAAAAATGCAGAATGCCCATACCACAACATATGACTCGAAACTTTCTAGTCACCCTCATAGTGCTAAGCCAGACCCATCCCCCAGTCATAGCACTAATACCCACAGTGCTGGTGCTGGCCCAGGCCCAGCCCCCAGCCCTAGTGCTGACTCAGACCCAGCCCCCAGCCTTACTGCCAGCCCAGACGCTACCAGGGACCCTACCACAACCACCACTAAAACCGTAAATATACAACCATCATTGCACAAGACCGTGGCCCACAGTACAGATGTTGGAGAGGAGTCTCCTCCTCCTTCCTCTACTGAGGAAAGTAGATGGAATCCAGGACGGGGTGGCCCTGGCTTGGATACTAAGGATTATAGTGCAGTCCCAGAACCTGCAGAAATTGACAACACACCTCCCAACAATTCTCAACCAAAGGTGCATTTGTGCAAATACAGTATTATGCTTGGGGCATCTGTAGCATGGATTATCAGGAAAAAAAAATGGGACATGCAACTTTGAGCATCCCAAAAAATGTAGCGACCTCCTGTCTAAAGGAGTGTGTCGTTCTTCTTCCTGTACTTTCTTTCACCCAAAAATGTGTCACTCCTCGGTCCTCCAGAAGCAGTGTTACAACATCGACTGCCCTGCATACCATCTAAAAGGGACCAGGAGGCACAGACCCCACAAGACAAACAATAGTAGCTACGACAGCCTAACTCCAGGTGATTTTTTAGTGGCAGGAAACGGAAAAAGAAAATGGAAGGAAATAACAAAAATAGTCCACCACCTTGGAGCCTTCTTGGACTGGAGGTGCAGCCAGTGGCCACCCATGGCCCTCCAGAATTACAACTACTGATGCAATAACAAAATCCCCCCAACAAACACAGAATACAACCTCATTCATATTTGCTAATATACAGGGCCTTAAGCCATCCACCAACAACAAAATACCTTTTATCAGTGGACTTCTAGAGGAGTCTAATGCAATGTTTGCAGCCTTCACAGAGACTCGCACTAAAGATCACTTTGACAGTGAAATATGGATAAGTGGTTACAACCTTTTTAGATCACTTTGACAGTGAAATATGGGTAAGTGGTTACAACCTTTTTAGATGCGACAGAAAGAACAGGCAACAAGGGGGGGTTGCCCTGTATGTCAGAGTCCCTCATCTGCACGGAGTTGCTGAACACCACAAATGAGGTAGTTGAAGTTCTATCAATAAAGATCGAGAACCAAAACCTAGTCATTGTGGTTGTATATAAACCACCAGATGCAACCTCACAACAGTTCAAGGAACAGCTACTGAAAATTGATTACTGTTTGGAAAACCTTCCAGCTCCATCCCCAAACATCTTACTGATGGGTGATTTCAACCTAAGGCATACAAAATGGAAGAATGTAGCAAATAATGTTATAGCTAAAACAATCCCCGGAGGTAGCGCAGATGAAAGGTCACACACGCATGAGCTACTAAGTCTCTGCGAAAAACACGCCTTAAGCCAGCAGATAGTGGAGCCAACAAGACTAGGAAACACACTTGACCTTATCTTCACAAATAATGAGGACCTGATAAGAGAGATAAGAATATCAAAAATAACTAATTCCGATCACAACTTAATCGAAGTCCAGACGTACATGCATAGGGGTCCTGATCAGCAGAATGCATGTACCTGTGAAGGTGTCTTCACAAAATACAACTTCAACAACAAGAACATCAACTGGGACCAGGTAAACCATGTCCTAAACGAAACATGTTGGGAAGATGTCTTAAATGACATGGATCCAAACCAGTGCCTTGAAAGGATCAACTTCCTGGCAGCCGAAGCATGTTCTAGGCATATTCCCCTAAGAAAGAAGAAGAGCAGAAGTAAACTGGAGAGAGAAAAACGCTCCCTCTACAGAAGACGACGAAGAGTCACCGAGCTCCTCAGGAGTGCTAGAATATCTGATACACGAAAGGAGGAGCTGACCAGGGAAGTGCAAACTATCGAACTTAAGTTAAATGACTCTTACAGGAGCCAGGAGAGACAGGAGGAGCTTAAAGCTATTAGTGAAATTGAAAGAAATTCAAAATATTTCTTTTCATATGCCAAAAACAAGGCAAATACCACATCTAGTATGGGGCCCTTACTCAGACAGGATGGGACTTACACAGATGACAACAAGGAAATGAGTGAAATATTGAAAACCCAGTACGACTCTGTGTTTAGTGAACCACTAATCGGTCTGAGGATCGACGACCCAAATGATTTCTTCATGAATGAGCCTCAAAACTCCATAAATGTATGCCAGATTTCCGACATTACCCTAACTCCGATAGATTTTGAAAAAGCCATTGACAGCATGCCCATGCACTCAGCCCCGGGCCCAGACTTGTGGAACTGTTTTCATTAAGAACTGCAAGAAACCCCTCTCGCGTGCCCTAAGTACACTATGGAGGAGGAGCTTGGACATGGGTGAAATTCCACAGTCACTTAAAACAACGGATATAGCCCCACACCATAAAGGTGGCAGCAAAGCATTAGCTAAGAACTATAGACCAATAGCTCTGACGTCCCACTTCATAAAAATCTTTGAAAGAGTGCTAAGAAGCAGGATTGCAAATCACTTGGATTCCCAAAATCTGCACAATCCAAGGCAACATGGGTTCAGGGCAGGTCGCTCCTGCCTCTCACAACTACTGGATCACTATGATATGGCCTTGGATGCACTGGAAGAAAATCAGAATGCAGATGTAATATACACAGACTTTGCAAAAGCATTTGACAAATGCGATCATGGTGTAATAGCCCATAAAATACTTGCTAAAGGAATAACTGGGAAAGTGGGAAGATGGATCTTCAACTTCCTAACAAATCGAACACAAACAGTTAAATTGGAGGCTGCCATAGTGAAGAGCTCTGTTCCACAAGGCACAGTACTCGCCCCCATCTTATTCCTCATCCTCATATCAGACATAGACAGAGATATACATCACAGAACCATATCATCCTTTGTAGATTATACCAGGATCTGCATGAGGCTGTCATCTGCTGAGGATGCGGTTAACCTCCAAGAAGATATAAACAAAGTTTTCCAGTGGGCAACGGTAAACAATATGATGTTCAATGAGGACAAATTCCAACTACTCCGTTATGGAAAACTGGAGGAGATAATAACTAGAACAGAGTATACTACAGACTGGCCATACAATAGAGCGGAAAAATAATGTAAGGTACCTGGGAGTAGTAATGTCTGAGGATCTCACTTTCAAGGATCACAACAGTGCCATGATCGCACGTGCAAAGAAAATGATAGGATGGATAATGAGAACGTTCAAAACGAGAGATGCCAAGCCAATGATGATCCTTTTCAAATCACTTGTTCTCTCTAGGCTGGAATACTGCTGTACATTAACATCTCCATTCAAAGCAGATGAAATCGCAGATCTAGAGAGTGTACAGAGATCCTTTACTGCACGCATAAGTTCTGTCAAGCACTTTAACTACTGGGAACGCTTGGAAGCACTTGGCTTGTACTCATTGGAATGCAGGAGGGAGAGATATATCATAATCTACACTTGGAAAATCTTGGAAGGAATGGTCCCAAATCTGCACACAGAAATCACTCCCTACGAAAGTAAAAGACTGGGCAGGCGATGCAAAATGCGCCCAATAAAAAGTAGGGGCGCCATTGGTACACTAAGGGAAAGCACCATAAGTGTCTGGGGCCCAAGACTGTTCAACAGCCTCCCATCAAGCATTAGGGGAATTGCCAACAAACCCCTGGCTGCCTTCAAGAAAGAGCTGGACAGATACCTAAAGTCAGTGCCAGATCAGCCGGGCTGTGGCTCGTACGTTGGACTGCATGCGGCCAGCAGTAACAGCCTGGTTGATCAGGCCCTGATCCATCGGGAGGCCTGGTCGTGGGCCGGGCCACGGGGGCGTTGATCCCCGGAATAACCTCCAGGTATCCAATACAGTGGTCAGAATTTAGCAGTTTTGCCAATTTGACACAAATTTCAAAAGATGCCAACTTCCAAATAGGGTCCAGAATAAACAAGAAAGACATTCCTGGCACTAAAATAACATTTCCTCTGTTAGTCACATCCCCATGCCCCTCTTACATTCTTTTGCTTTCCACTTTGAATTTTTCTTCTCGCAAAAAAATAGAAGATTCACTGTTATGCAGACTACTGCATTGGTGTAGAAATGGTATAAATAATATCAGCGCACTTGTGAAAGAATATTAGACTCACCAGTTGACGTGTATTGGATGCGTAGCATGATTTGGTTTACTTTTGAACTTTGGTAAAAATCGAACATTTCTGCTACTTTGAGCTCAATTTCAAGGTACTTTTCTTTGTAAAACCAGTCAAAAT